TAGATTAACCCAGGAGTTACAAAGATATAGAAAGTCCTCAGATAACCACACCTAGTTTCCATCTTAGATTAGTATGGGACATTTGTCACATTTATTGATCCAATTTAATGCATAGCTAAATCCCAAACTTTATTCAGATGTTCTTAGTTTTCACTTAATGTCCATAGTTTGTTCTGAGATCCCACATTACATTTGATCATCATGCCTCCTTAGGAGTGTCTGGCTCACTCTTCCTCTGTTTTTCATGATTTTGGCTCTTTTGAGGGATACCAGTGAGGTGTTTTGCAAACTGTCCCTCAACTGAGGTCTTTGTTTCATGCTTTTCTCATGATTCATCTGAGTTTATGGGTTTTTGAGGTAGAGTTTGTCAGGTTTCTCCACCATAAATTTACTCTTTTTTCCCCCTTCCCATCTTGTGCTCTTTGGAAGAAAGTCATCATCACGTGCAGTGCACACTTAAGGAGTGACGAGTTACGCTCCATTCCTGGAAAGTGGCATATCTACATCCATTATTTGGAATTCTTCTTCACAGGAGATGTGTCCATTCTCTTCTCTTTATTTGTTTATGAAATCATTTATTTGTATCAGTATGAACTCACAGATACTTGTTTTGTACTTTGGGATACTCTCCAGCACTACTTTATTAATTTTGTTGCTCAAATTGTTCTAGCTTTGTACATTTTGGGGGAGCTCTTTCACTTGGCTCCTGTGTCCCATTATTGTGGGATTTTTAGGTAGGGGGCACTTTTTTACTTTCTGACACTATAAGATGCTCCAGGCTCATCTTGTACATTCCATGTACAATGGCCCTATATCCAGCCATTTCTCCAATGGTGTTCTTTTTATTGGAACATGGTATTTTGAAACCAAGGTCTGGATAGTAGGTGCGATTCTTGCTGTAAGGGTGTTTTTGCTTCAAGCCCCTATTGGCTGACAGAGCAAGGAAATAGATAATATACATTCTAGAGTTTCTTTAGGTGACTTTATCTGGACTCAGATTTTCTGTTTCTTCCACCTCAGTTTTCCATATTTACTCAATTCTTGGATAGAGATTTTCTTCATACTTGCAAAGTAACTGGAGCAACTCTAGAACTTAAGTCCCAAGGGATGAAGTAAGAGTCATTTTGCCAGAATTTCCAACAATTTTCCATCAAATCTCATTGGCTCTTTTTATATCACATGCCGAGTTGGCCCCTGATCACTGTAGCTAAGAGAAATGAAATATTCTTATTATTGAACTTGGATCATGTGCAGCTCACTCAAGTCAGAGGATTGGTCCTATTTGTACCACATGGACTAAGAGCACATGAGACATGAATTTGAGAATGGTTGTTAGTGAAAAAAAGGGAAAATGTAGCTGTATGGCTTACCATAGTCAATTACCACTACTTCTATGAATTCTGAAATTCTAAAACTGGCTACCACTTAGTGTGAGGTTTTGAAAGAAAATGGGCTATTTACTTTTATGAAAAGATGCATCAGTAAATTGAACAGTACTTTACTATGTCTTTGCATATGAATATTTTCTGTTTGAAAGTATAAAATATGGAGAGTAAATCCATTGTCAGATTCTTTTCTGGTTTTGCTTTTAAAAATAATTTCACTTTTATAGAAATGGAGCATTTAGTCTGGGAGGAAATAAAGTCTGTTGACCTTTGTGGTTGTTGCTTCATTTTGACTGTCTCCATTGGTTTTCTTTATTTACCTCTTTCAGGAACATATTCAAAGAGAAATTAGATGGATTGATGTTCATTCATCAAAATGTTAAGGCACTTTCTGTTTTTTCCCTACTTCAAGGAAGTTTGTAAAATATTTTAAAAAGAAAGGGCTATAGGATGGAAGAACTATAGGATAGTATTATAACTGAAACCAGTACTGTGATCTGAAGTTTTTGTTTTTTCTTAGTAAAGCTTTCACACCCAAATTAAACCAGCAATTACCAGAACAAGAATTCCAATTTAAAAGGATTATTTTAAAATTCATCCATTGCAAAAACATACTAGTTTAAGATACTAGCAGTCACTACAGAATGCTGCATTCCAATTTTTATTTGAAGGCAATTATTGGTTCTGTTTATATTTGTTAAGATTACTTTTCTTTTATTTCATTGCTTTTAAAAAATACTACTCAGCCATTGTAGAGACCTAAAGTTTTACAAAATAACATATTAAAGACACCACTAATTTGAAATTTAAAATGCACTGGTCCCAGTGAAATGTGTTCACATTTCAGTCAAGCCACACGTCTTGGGTGACATCTAAATTTAAATTTCGTGAAATGAACACAATCACAATCAAATTGATATCTCTGAATTAAAACTTTGATTATTTGGAACCCTTAGAAAATAAGATGTCTAGAATTAAAAAAAATTTTTTTTGAGGAGTACAATAATGATACTTGTTTAAGTTATAATATATATAAAATATATATTTAAATCTTTTGACAAGAATCTTTACCACTTTTTCTCTTTCTTAAGCAGTGGATACTGGTCATAATTTATTTGTTTTCTTCTGACTCTTAAGATCTTTTTTTGAGTGCTGGATATTTCTAAAACTATTCAAGTTTTGTCTTAAATTTTTTTCTATACATGGAAGTTCCTTACAACTATAATATCCAATTCAGGATTGGCATATTCACTCAATATTTCAAGTAAATTTTATTAACAAATATCTATTGAAAATATTTGATATACTAGACATGGTGATAATAAGTGCTTCTTACATATTTCATTTAACCTACATTTTAGTAAGGTGGGTATTAAAATATTTGTTTTAGAGAAGAGGAGACTAAGGCTCATAGAGCTTAAATTAACTAAGGTCATACTGAAGAGCCAAGATTCAAACCTATTTGTAGAACACAACATACTATATCTAAAAATTAAGAGAAGAGCTGTTATAACACACACACACACACACACACAAATCAAAGTAACCATTAATTGTTCAGAGAGATCCCCCTCTGTGATTCTTTCTTGTTTCTACATGTGTCACCAAGTGTGCAAGGCCCTGGCACTCCTTCCCCAGGCCTATCTCAGGCTTGTGTTCATAGGAAAGCAACCCTGAGGGATGAGGTAATATCTCCCTTTGGAAGGAGGAACAGGCTGTCTGTAAAAGCAGTGGATTCCCCAATTTCTCCTTTGTATTTTCAGCCCCTTCTAATTGTTCCTTGCATCTTAATGAGCACTCAGGATATGTTTGACATGAGAAGTCAAGGACAAAGAATAAGTTATTAAAAGAATACTACTACTAGGAATGAATTCTCCAACTATTATATCTAATTGTGACCCTTGAGTATAATAATAAAAAAAACAAACAAATACAAATAATAGCTATTTCCTAGTGTCTACTATGTGACTAGTGAGTTCTTAATGCTTTATATTGTTTTAACCCTTGCAAAAACACTTTGAGATAGGTAAGAATATCTCCATTTTGCAAATGAGGAAACTGGGACCTAGAGGCATTAAACAGTTTGTCCAAAGTTTCATATCTAGTAAGTGGTGGACACTGGTTCTGAATGCAGCCTTGCTGCTACCAACACTGAAGCTCTCAATTATCTCAGTAGGAAGTTACTGTTATTTTATTTTATTTTATTTTATTTGGTAATAAATGAGAACTTTTATAATGAGTTGTTGTTTGGCATCCAATTATCATCAAGAAATGTAGGATGAAAAAACAATCTGTGGGAAAAAAGGGCCTGGTAGATACTTGTGATACATACACAATATAAATCCCAGGAAGATTCTGTCTTAGAAGGACTGCACATAATTGGGCAAATATCACACTGTAATAGAAAGGAACAAATCTGACTCCATATTAGATCTGTTCCTTTGGCTTTAACCCTGTGCTCTGTTTCCTAGGCTGGTTCTGCACCTTTTGTAAAAGAATTTTGCCTATAGGCTGAAGTATACAGGATAGCCTATTCTCAAGGCTCTGATCTTTAAGGGTATTAACACTTTTCTACTCATATAAAGATATAAAGTTGCAGAATAGAAAATATTTATTTTGTTGGAGGTTTACAGGGACACCATGACCTGACCCACGTGGACAGTTGCAAGAACAAAGGATTCCAACACCAAGCAGTTTGCAACAAGCATACCCCCTCCCCTGTTTAGTATACAAGGAGCCTGAATTCTGACTTGGGGAAGACGGTTCTCCTGGACTTTAGTCTACCATCTTCTCGGTCTGCTGTCTTTCCGAATAAAGTTGCTATTCCTTGCCCCCACACCCTGTCTCCCAAATTATTGGCCTGTCCTGTGGAGAGCAGAAGAGTTTGGACTCCGTAAAAATACATTATTTTAGGACCATTTGTACCTCATAATTTTTCTGGAAATGGCTTTACTTTGGTAAGAATCAACCCTACAAATATGGTTACAAGTTCCTGAGTATAAAACCAAAGTCAAGCAGATGTACAGATACTTTAAAGGAGCACAAGATTGGAATTGACCAGGGTGACCATCCTAGTTCTTTATTGGTATTTCCCCTGGGCCAATCTCTCAATTAGGATTACTGGGACCTCCCCCTTCCCCCGCCCCCTTCAATGGGCACTGAGTTTGCCCTTCGTTTTCCCTGGTGACAACTAGGACTACACATATCTAAAACCTGGGGACTGATGATGGGCAGGTGAGAACCAATAGAAAGGCAATTTAGAGAAGAAAACGAAGGAAGAAATGCTAGGGTCAAAACTAAAGAAAACCGAGCCGCCTGGGGAAGAAAATGTGTGCAAACCAAGTCCACTGCTTTATTTTATCTCGTCCACTCCTGGAGCTGCACCCTAGCGTCCAGGGTAACTAGGCAACGAGGTTGCCCCGGTAACGTAGGAAGCACGGAGGGCGCCAACATTCACGGCTCAGGGCGGCCCTTCCGGGCCGAGCCCGCCTGGTGGGAGGGGTGAAGGGTGCCAGGCTCTCGCGAGAGCTGCGTGGGCTTGCCGGCCGCCGTCTTTGCCGTTCCCCTCAGGGGCGCGGTTGGCCGGTCAGGGTCTGAAACCCCCGAGTGCTGTAGATGGCGGCTCAGCAAGGGATGCCCACCTCCACCCTGCGGGGCCTGGAAGAAGCCTTGGGCATGGGCATGACGGTTTCCGGGGACACCAATGAGGCGGTTGCCGCCGAGGGCGCCTACTACCTGGAGCGTATCCTTCCGGTGTAGGCGCGGCCCCCACACGCTGGCCGCGGTAACGGGTGTTGGGGGCGAGGGCGGCCACTTCCCACTGGGGGTTCCCCGTGTGGCTGGAGGTCACCACGCCTGTTGAGAGATACCTGTTGGACCTCAAGGTGGCTCCTCCGCCATTCTGACCCCCTGATACCTAACCCACTGTAATTTTTCGCCTCTCAGTAGTCGTAGCCCCCTGTGTTCCTGTTGGAACAAGAGTAGAAGACCTTCAGGAGCCTTCTATTTAGTAGTAACCAGTCAGTAAACTTTGCCGTTTTAATTTAAGTAGCACAACAAATTCACTCAATCCTCTTTTCGCTCAGTAGTTTTCTTAAGCCCACCAAACCTTCAAAATGCCGTGAAAGCAAATTCCATCGGGAAACGTTAGGAGATTAGGGAAAGACCCGTGCCTTTGGCTGTAAGAAGAGGAAGCTCGGACTATCAAGCCGGATCCTGTCGATGGCCCAATTGTCTAATGCTTAAATGATTTGGTAGCATCGACTTAATGGGAAGTTTCAATTTTGGCTATTTAATGAAAATAATTATTTTTCTCCTTTAGCAGCTAAATAGTAACCTGGTAAGTTGATAAGGCTCAGAGATGTTAGGAAGAAACCAGATCAGATAGTGATGAGCGATTATCAATGGAAAAAAACAGAAAAATTGAATAGCCATAGGTGGAATAATTAAATTCACTATTTCTTGTGTAAAGCATTGAGCTCCCCTTCTGTAGGCATATAAATTAATGGGGAAACGGGGAGGGTTCATGAAAAAGATATATTTACTCCATTATTCAGGCAGGTGAGAGAGAGGGTTATCTTTTATTTTTAAAGATATCAAGGAAATTCCAAAAACTACCTTTTTTCTCTTTGGTCCAGATATAATCCCCCTCACCCAACTTCGATTCAGAGATTTCAAGGATCCAGCAATGATTCATTTTGGGGCTTTGGCAAAGTGATGAACCTGTTCTGACTCAGCCCCAGTGCACATTCCTGCTACAGGGAGCTTTGAAGAACTTGGTTGAAAAGCTCAAAGAAAATATATAGTATCTTACTCAATGCAAACATGATTTTTACAAGAATATGTTTGAATAATTTGAAATCAATTTAAATAAAATATTTGGGTGCTCTAGTGTCTTCAGTGAGGTTTTATACTCTAGTTTCATAGCACTTAATAAACTGTAATACTTCTTTTTAAATTCAGAAATAATCCAATGATTTTTTCAGAGCTTACCTACATCAAAGTATGAAGTTTTACAGTGTCCATGCTAGAGAATGATAACCAGGCATCTTATCATATCTGTCTGCATTAAATGATTTCTATCACATGCAGTTATATTGTTAACATGAGGCAAACAGCGAGGTAACTTGCAAAAATCTTTTTTGAAATAAATGGTGAGAATGTAATATAACACAACTTTCACTGATGAAAATCAGGTTTACTTAGTTTGCAGGGAGGTCCTTGAGTTACAATTGCTAACATATAGCAGTTTGCAAAAAATCTGTCTTACAGACAGGTTTGATTTTCCAAGTAATCATATTTACAAATACAAGCAACTGTAACTTTTCAGGATTTTTTTAATTGAAGTGTAATTGAATGACGTTACATTAGTTTCAGGTGTATAACAATGATTCAATATTTTTATACATTATGAAATGATCACCTTTATAAATCTAGTTACTGTAAGTCACCATATAAAGTTACTGCAATATTATTGATTATATTCCCTTTGCTGTACATACAACACCAAGGGAGTTGTACCTCTTAATTCTCTTTATCTCTTTCACCCAAACCCCATCTCCCTTTTCTCTGGCAACCATAAGTTTGTTCTCTATATCTATGAGACTACTTCTGTTTTGTTATGCTTGTTTGTTTTGTTTTATAGATCCTGCATATAAGTGAAATCATACAGTATTTGTCTTTCTCTGTCTGACTTACTTTGCTTAGCATACCTCAAGTTCCAGTCATGTTGTTGCAAATGGCAAGATTTCAATTTTTTAATGGCTGAGTAATAATCCATTGTGTGTGTGTGTCTCTGTGTGTATAACCACATTTTTATCCATTCATCCATTGATGGGCACTTAGATTACTTCCATATTTTGGCTATTGTAAATAATGCTGCAGTAAACATATGGTATATACATCTTTTCAAATTAGTGTTTTGTTTTCTTCAGATAAGTTTCCAGAAGTGGAACTGCTGGGTCATATAGTAGTTCTGTTTTAAACTTTTTGAGGAAACACCATACTGTTTTCCATAGTGGTTGCACAATTTATGTATTCTCAACAATAGTGTGCAAGGATTCCCTTTTCTCCACATCCTTGCCAACACTAACAATTGTTATTTCTTATTTTTTTGATAATAGCTATTTTGACAGATGTGAGGTGATAACCTCATTGTGGTTTTGATTTGCATTTCCCTGATGATTAAAGATGTTGAGAACCGTTTCATATGTCTGTTGGCTGTCTATATGTGTTCCTTGGAAAAATGCCTTTTTAGGTCTTCTGCCCATTTTTAATTGGATTGTTTATTTTTTGATGTTGAGTTGTGTGAGTTCTTTCTGTACTTTGAATATTAACCCCTTATCAGGTATATCATTTGCAAATATTTTCTTCTATTCAGGAGATTGCCTTTGCCCATTTCATTTTGTTGATAGTTTTTGTTGCTATGCAGAAGCTTTCTAATTTGATGTACTCCTGCTTATTTTTGCTTTTGTTTCTTTTGGTTGAGGAGAGGGATCCAAAAAACAAAAAAATCAGAAGCACAGTACTTATGTTTTCTTCTAGGAGTTATATGGTTAAGGTCATATATTTAAGTCTTTAATCCATTTTGAGTTTGTTTTTCTATATGGTGAAAGAAAATGGTCTAATTTCATTCTTTTGCTTGTGGCTGTCCAGTTTTCCCAACACCATTTATTAAAGAGACTGTCTTCTCTCCATTGTATGTTCTAATTGACCATATAAGTATGAGTTTATTTCTGGGCACTCTATTCTGTTCCATTGATCTTTGTATCTGTTTTTGTGGCAGTGTCTTACAGTTTTGATTACTATAGCTTTGTATCATAGTTTGAAGTCAAGGAGTGTGATACCTCCACCTTTGTTTTTATTTCTTAAGATTGCTTTGATATTCTGGGTATTTTGTGTTTCCATACAAATTTTAGGAGTATTTGTTCCAATTCTTTGAAACATGCTAGTTTGTTATTACTGCAGAGAAAGAACAGACTTCTGTATGTTAATTTTGTATCCTGCAACTTACTTGAATTCATTTATTATTTCTAATAACTTTTGGTGGAGTCTTTGGAGTTTTTCTATAAATAGTATCATGTCACCTATAAATAGTGAGCTTTACTTCTTCCCTTCTGATTTGACTATCTTTTACTTCTTTTTCTTGTGGCTAGAACTTCCAATAATATGTTGAATAAAAGATGTGAAATTGGGCATCCTTGTTTTGTTCCTAATCTTAGAGGAAAAGCCTTAAGTTTTTCATCCTTGAGTTGGATGTGAGCTGTGTGTTTGTGAGATATGACCTTTATTATGTTGAGTTATGTTCCCTCTATACCCACCTTGTTGAGAGTTTTTATCATAAATTTACATCAAATCTTGTCAAATGCTTTTTCTACATCTGTTGAGATCATCTTTTATTTTGTTAATATGGTATATATTACATTGTTTGATTTATTGGTATTGAGCTATACTTGCAATCCTGGAGTAAATGCCATTCAAGTATTATGTATGATCCTTTTAATGTATTGTTGAGTTTGGTTTGCTAATATTTTGTTTAAGACTTTTACGTCTATGTTTATCAGAGATATTCGCCTGTAATTTCCTTTTTTTTTTTTTGTAGTGTCTTTGTTTGGTTTTGGTATCATGGTGATCCTAGCCTCGTAGAGTAAGTTTGGAAGCATTCCCTTCTCTTCAATTTCTTGGAATTGGTATTAACTCTTCTATAAATGTTTGGTAAATCTCCCTGTAAAGCTGTCTGGTCCTGACCTTTTGTTTGTTAGGAGTTTTTTGATTATGAATTTAATTTAATTATTAGTATTCAGTGTGTTCAGATTACCTATTTCTTTCTGATTCAGTCTTAGAAGATTATATAATTCTAGAAGTTCATATATTTCTTCCAGGTTATCTAGTTCGTTGGTGTATAATTGTGGTAGTCTCTTTGACTATGTTTCTGTTGTATTGTTGTAACTCCTTTTTCATTTCTGATTTTATTTATTTGGGTTCTCTTTTTTTTTTCTTCAACAGTCTGGCTGAAGTTTTATCAATTTTCTTTATCTTTCAAAGAAGTAGCTCTTTATTTCATTGATCTTTTTTCTTGTCTCTATTTCATTTATTTTTGCTCTGATCTGGAATTGAAGTGGGCTGGGAAAGAGGGGGATCCTGGGCCATGCTGAGTGGGGGCTGCCTTGGTAAGGCAGCTGGAGATGGAATGGCCACAGGCTGGGAACATGCTGGGATGGCTTTGGTGGGTCAGTGAGAGTGCCAGGTGCTATTCAGTCTGCTGCATATGTGCTGATACTCAGAGTCAGTGAGTTTGTGCATGAGCCCTTGAGAGTGGAGATCTGGTTTCTCATAAGAGCCCTCTAGCTCTTCTGTATGTAAGCCCCACTGGTTTTCAAAGCCAGACCTTATGGGGGGCTCATATTCTTGATGCAGGTCTCCTGGCCTGGGGTTACCAACATGGAGTTTGAACCCCTTGCTGTTTAGGAAGGGCCTCCTTTGTGTTTGTGATATCCCCTTCTACTAGTGGGTTGCCACACTGGGAGTGTGGGTCCTGACTAGATCACACCTCTGTTCCTTCTACTGTTATGGTGTAATTTTCCCCCCTTATATCTTTAATGAGAAGAGACGTTCTTCTAGTCTTCAAGTTATTCTTAGAGAGTTGTTCTATATGTAGTTGTAGTTTTGGTATCTCCATGGGAGGAGGTTAGCTCAAGTTCTTCCTACTCTGCCGTATTGATCCCACCCTTCTTTCATGATTTT